CTTCATTTCTGGACATTTATGGTTTGATTTCTTTGTATGTATGGATCACTTGGGTTGTTACCAACATCTGGTGAAAATTTCATGTCATTAGCACCTCCATCCAGATGATGTGGATTACAGCAACACCGTGTCGCTGACAGTGCTGCAACTTTTCCCTGCAGCTTTATAAATTGGTGTTGTGATGAACTGAGTATTTTACTATCAGCTCACAAATGATGGGATGAATCACTTTTATTTTATTCTTATTTAAAGTTGGATTTTATTAGAAAACACAGATGAGATGTGCTGCCCTCCTCTGGTCAACTACAGCTGATTTTCATCCAATTAGAGTCCTTCTTCATATAATATCTGATAAAACATAATATATTTTTATGTCATTTTAAAGTGTTTCTAGTTTGTTCAGTTTTATCTGATTATTAAAGAACAAAGGAGGCAGGATGAAGAGCAGAAACTAGAACTTTATTTATGAAGAAACAAATAATCCAAAGCTGTCCCACTGATAAAACTGGATTATCTAATCCCCCTTTTATCAAGCGGGCCCTGGAAATCTGAACCTAACAAGAACAGAACTCTAAAACACTAATGAATTAAAGCTGACTAAATTTATAATAAAATACAAAGATTGAGGCTAAAAATCTACTGAATGCTGAAAACTAGAAGGAAGTTCTAACTGTGACATGACGTCCCTGAAAGCAGCCTTCTGGATCCTGGACTGAGATTATTTACAGACTGAACTGAACTTCAAACACATGAACTCTGGTTAAATCCTGGAGATTTCTCACAGACGTATTTGCGAAGGAAATTACAGTAATCGTCATTCCAAGTCTTCCGACTTTGACCTTTTTCTCCCACAATCAACTGCCCACAGTCTTCTCCATCAGGATGCCAATATTTGTCATCGTTGGGCTCCTTGTTGATCCAAAAACTCAAACTAAGAAATAAAGACCATAAAAATCAAGCAACTTTAACTGACAGACCTGTCAGATAAATTGTTAGATTAAAGCAAAATATTTAGCTAAAAATGAACGTGTCAAACCTTTCATTCAGAGGTGATCCATCCACCCACAACCATCTGCCTTCTGTCAGTGAGTCCGTCAGTCCGATCCAGAACGTCTCCAACCCAGAAGTCTTTTCTCTCAGTTTCCTCATCACAAACTCCTGAACAGTAAAACACGATGAACATGAAGAAACCTGATGAAATGTGTGAGAACATGAAGCTGCAGCAGTGTTTCACACCTGCTTCTCTCTGCTGTGGATCTTCAGCAGGTCTCCTCCAACAACTCTGCAGCATCGTCTGCTGTCCTGCCAGGTGGACCCATAGGTGCTGAAGTGATAACACTTTCCTTCATGTTCCTCCCAGCCTGCACCACAACCAGACATTAGGGAAGTGGAAAAAATTGGATTCAAAAAGAACATTAAAAGTCCTAAATAAGTAAAACCAAAATTATGTGATTATCTCAAGTATGAAGGAAGTTCACAGCAGTCACTGAGAGGATTACAGGAACGACTCTAAAATGGTTTGAGTCTTATTTAACTGATAGATTTCAGTTTGTTAATGTTAATAATGAATCAAAAATAAAAAAATCTGTAGTTCCTCTGGATGGTTCTTCTTTAGTGAAATGTTTCGTCTCTCCTCCAAGAGACTTCTTCAGTCTGATGAGTTTCAGGTGAACTCAGCCTTATAAGCTCCGCCTCCACATGGACAAACAGGTTAGTCACATGCAAAAGATAAACAGTCTATGAACAAAAGAGCCAATCAAGCCTATTGTTAGTCTATGGTCCTCTTTTGCATGTGACTAACCTGTTTGTCCATGTGGAGGCGGAGCTTATAAGGCTGAGTT